TATCCCGACCATTCAGCTCTCAATCCACCCATCCTTTCAACAATTTTTCCAACCAAACAACTGTTTATCTGTTATGGTCTGAATGTTTGTGTCTCTCCAAAATTCATGTGTTGGAATCTCAACCAACTAGGCGATGGTATTAGGAGGTGGGACTTTGGGGAGATGATTAGGTCACTAGACTGGACTTCCCAGGTGGCACAGTGGTAAAGAATCTACCTGCCAGTGCAGGAGACATAGGTTCAACCCCTGGGTTGGGAAGATCCCCTGGAGTAGGAAATGGCAACCCACTCCAGTATTTTTGCTTGGAACATTCCACAGACAGAGGAGCCTGGTGGGCTAGAATCCAGAGGGTTAAAAAAAGAAAGCGAGAATCCAGAGGGTTGCAAAAAGTCAGATGTGACTGAGCACTAAGTCACTAAAACAAGGCCCTTATGAAAAGAGACTAATGCCTTTATGAAAGAGGCCCAAAAAAGTACTCTTGCCCCCTTCTGCCAGTGAGCATACAACAAGAATTATGCAAGCTGAAAGAGGGCCCTCACTGAACTGTCCTGGCACCTTGATCTTGTATTTCTAGGCTGCAGACCTATAAGAAACAACTTTCTGTTGTTTATAAGTCACCCTGTCTGTGGCATTTTGCTCCAGTGGCATAAATGGACCAATCTTTCAACCATTCATCAAAACCTCTCTCAATTCAGCAACAAATGCCATGTGGCTATCCATTCTATAGGGGCTTCCCTCATAGCTCAGTTGGTAAAGAATCTGCCTGCAATGCAGGAGACCCTGGTTTGATACCTGGGTTGGGAAGATCCACTGGAGAAGGGATAGGCTACCCACTCCAGTATTCTTGGGCTTCCCTGTGGCTCAGCTGGCAAAGAATCCACCTGCAATGTGGGAGACCACGGTTCGATCCCTGGGTTGGGAAGATCTCCTAGAGAAGGGAAAGGCTATTCACTCCAGTATTCTGGCCTGGAGAATTCCATGGACTATACAGTCCATGGAGTCGCAAAGAGTCAGACACGACTGAGCAACTTTCACTTTCACCTCATCCATCCTACAAGTACCAAGGGCCTCCTCTATGCTGACCCTATGCCAGGAGAAGGCTGAAGGCTGAAGGCAGTGGAGATTAGGATAGAGCAGCACATGTAAAAGCTGGATTCCCAGTAGATCTGGAAACCCCTGAGGGCAGATCCTTGGTTTTATATTTGAAGTACATAAAATATGACTTCTGTTTTCCTTTCCAGCCTTATCTCACTAACTTATCTTCTTGCTTATTCCTCTTTAACCACATTGAATGAGAGAGATTTCTCGCTCACTAAGGTCAACTTCTGTGACTTCATGGACTGTAGCCCACCAGGCTCCTCTCTCCATGGGATTCTCCAGGCAAGAATACTGGAGCGGGTTGCCATTCCCTTCTCCAGGGGATCTTCCTGACCCGGGGATCAGACCAGGATCTCCTGCATTGCAGGTGGACTCTTTACCATTTGAACCACCAGGGGGGTCACACTGGTCTCTCTGTTTCTGGAGTGAACCAAGCCATCTTTTTTCACAGGACTTGAGCAATTGCTGTTCCATTTGACCCAAATGTTCCTTCAGCAGTGTCAACAGCTGGCTCCTCCTCCGTCTTTTTAAATATATTTATTTACTTAGCTGCGTTGAGTCTTAGTTGTGGTATATGGGATCTAGTTTCCTGACCAGGGACTGAACTCAGGCCCCCTACATTAGGAGTATGGAGTCCCAGCCACTGGATCACCAGGGAAGTCCCTGGCTCCTTCTTAATCCTTTGCATTTTGGTTAAACTGTCTTGTCCTCAGAGAGGTCTTTTCTGACCACCTTATCTAAAAGAGACATTCTCTGCCTCTCCTCTAGCTATTCCCTATCACCTCATCCTCTTTATTTCTTGTACGGTATTGCTCACAATTTGTAAATCATGTTATTTATTCATTGCTTATTTTCTAGCTCCCTAACTAGAAAAATAAGTCCCGGGGTGCTCACATGTTCTTTCTGCACGCCTTCTGACTGCTAGCCCGGTAACTGACATATAGTGTATGCATGCTCAGTTGCTCTGTCGTGTCCAACTCTTTGTGACCCCACAGACTGTAGCCTGCCATGCTCCTCTGTCCATGGGATTTTTCCAGGCAAGAATACTGGAGCGGGTTGCCATTCCCTTCTCCTGGGCATCTTCCCGACTCAGGGAACCAACATGGGTTTTCTGCATTGTAGGTGGATTCTTTACCACTGAGCCACTTGGGAATCCCCAACTGACATGTAGTAGGCCTTGAATATTTATTTGTTGAATAAATGGATGAAAGATCTCCCCAGTATTAGAAAGCCTGAAGAGCAGGGGAGAACAGACCCCAAAAGATAAAATAGGAACAGAGAGAGCCTTGAAGGACAAGCAGAAGAGGCTAGGAAGCCAGTAGAGACTCTTGAGTTGCAGGCTGAAAATGGTGATTTAGAAGGGTTACTTGGTATGCCACTACCTGCTATAAATCCTTAATTTAAAGGATTTACTGCCGCATCTTGCAGTGAATTACTGCAAGAGGTAATCACATCCTAGGACCTGAACTGTATTTTTCTCCCTGTGGGATATTATGCAATGTGGGAACTCAGTGTGGGTCTCCAAGTTTCATAGAAATATATGTTAATTGATTGTGTTGAAATACAGAAAAGCAATCACAGTAAAAAAACTCTGTAAGGTAGGACCCATGGCTATCTCCTACAAAAGATCTAGCCTGCAGGAGACAGAATATTTGTTCAATGAATGAGTGAAACAACCATGCTCTTGGAAGGACCTGAGTTCTCTAGGATCTGTTGCTAGCCATCTGTGTGATGGCTAAGAAGACCTGTAACCTGGCCAGGGATCGGTTTCCTCACCTGTAGAATAGAGAGAAGGTTTAACTCACAGGGTTTTAAATGAGAGCTTATGGGGAAAATCTCTGATACAGAGTGGATCAGTACATTTATTTCTTTCTGTTACTTTGGAGATGCTGAACCTGCCCTGACTGGGATTTCCTACTTGCCTTTCCCAAGAGCTCCAGGGCCTTAAATAGGGCATATGGTGATATTTCTTTCCCATTTTCAATCCTTTCAATGTAAAACTGCAGGGTTTTTTTAAATTGAAATATAGTTGATTGATAATATATTAATTTAAGGTGTAAAGTGATTCACTCATATATATATATATATATATATTCTTTATCAGGCTATTTTCCATTATAGGTTATTATAAACTATTGACTATAGTTTTCTGTGCTATACAGTAGGTCCTTGTTGTTTATTTTATATATAGCAGTGTGTATTTATTAATCCCAAACTCCTAATGTATCTACCGCCCAGCCCCCCTCCAAAAAACACACAAAACCTTTGAATTCTGACTCTGCAATTTACTATCTGAGTGACCTTGGGCACCCTTTTTGTGCCTCAGTTTATTTATAAAACAGGTATAATAACAGTTGGGCTTCCCTGGTGGTTCAGTGGTAAAGAATCTGCCTGCAATGCAGGAGATGTGGCAGGAGCCATGGTTCCATCCCTGGGTTGGGAAGCTCCCCTGAAGGAAATGGCAACCCATTCCAGTATTCTTGCCTGGGAAATCCTATGGACAGAGGAGCCTGGTGCACTTACAGTCTATGGGGTGGAAAAAGAGTTGGATACAACTTAGCAACTAAACAACATTAACAGTATCTGCCTTATAGAAGTATTTTAAGGATTACATGAGGTGTTATACTAAGTGCTTGTACTAGTGCCTGGCACATAGGGGATGCTTCGTAAGTATTGGCTGTGATGAGTCTTTAGGATTCCCTTTTTCACTCCTAATTTTGGTAACCTTTTTCCCTTTCCTCCTGTAGGCATTCTCAGTGCCTACCATCTCTTCTGGAGAAAAGGCTCACTCTGAGGTACACTTTGAGAGAAATGGGTTCAGTAGAGTCTTCCAAACAAACCAATCAAGAAACTTAAAGTGGGAATAGACAAGTAGGGGCATTAGGACACTGAAGAGAGGGGCCTTTTGCACCTGTAGCATACACGAGGCAACGATAAAGGCTGAAGCAAGAAACCAGGTGCGACCACTTTCCAGTGAATTTGGGTTGAAAAACTGCTGCTCCTGTGGAAGTCCAGCAGTGCCTCAGAACTAGTCTCTGAAACATTCATCAGCTTAATCCAGTGTGCCTGGTATTCTTCCTGTTTTCATTAGCATTTTCCTACTTTGAAAAAAGTAGGTGCATTGTTCCTAGAAAGTGGAGAGTACCTAAGGAGACGCTCCTTGTGTGTGAGCTGAAGCGGCTGCCATGAGGTTATGGAGAATGTCTTTCACATCTATCCCTAGCACTAGCACAGTGCCTAGCATAGTAGGAGCTCAAAAAGTGTTTGCAGAATTATCTTCAAACTTTGGCTGTCCTTCCCAAAGAAGCTTCTCTTGCCCACACGCGGCCGCAAGCAGGTCCGCTCCTAGAAATAACATTTATTCTAAGGACCTCTGCGCAGAGATTCTTGGGAAGCGGTTCCCCTCCCTCATTACCTCGTTACTCCTCCCCTCTGTAGCCTTTGAAAGAACAGGCACGCCACGTGATTCCCTCCTTTATCCCACCTCCGAAAAAAAAAAAAAAAACCTGGTTGATAATGGGCAGGAGCGTAGGCCAACCATAAGACTTTACTTTCTCTTCCATCCAATAGAAAGAGGCGATAGGTACAAGGCTCAGCTTTTGTGACTTCCCCCGCCCCCTTTGAGCCCGCCCCCCCACTTCTCCTCTAAGATTCGACATTTGACAACTCGTCTGGCCAATGAGAAGTTCCTACTCTGTATGACAAGGCTGGACCGATTGAATGATAGACGTCCCCACCTGACCAATGAAATGTCACAAGTGCGGGAGGGGTTGTAGGACAGGACCAATGGCGCGGTGCCAATAACGACCATCGGGGTAAGGGCGGGACAAAACTGTTTGCTGGAGGGAGGGGAAGGCCTAGGGAACCAAGCAGCGCTGCCGCCGCCGCCGCTACAACCCGAGTTGGAGGAGGGAGAAGCCAGGAAGAAAATGGCGGCCGTGGCTGCAGAGGCGGCAGCGACTGCAGCGTCCCCCGGGGAGGGGGGCGCCGGCGAGGCCGAGCCGGAGATGGAGCCCATCCCCGGCAGCGAGGCCGGCACTGACCCCCTCCCGGTCACGGCCACTGAAGCATCTGTGCCCGACGCCGAGGCTGACGGGCAGCAGTCCTCTCCTCAGGCCGACGAACCGCCGCTCCCGCCGCCGCCACCGCCGCCGGGGGAGCTCGCCCGCAGCCCGGAGGCGGCGGGGCTGGAGCTGGAGCCTGAGGAGAAGCTGCCCGTTCGAGTAGTGGAGCCGGCGGCAGCCGCGCCTCAGGAAGGGCCCAGCTTGCCACCTTCTCCTGCACCGCCGCCGGAGGAGCCCCCGGCTCCCGAGGAGCGCCAGGAACCGCCGCTGCCCCAGCCAGCAGTCCCGGCTCTCGTGCCGCCGGCAGGCGGGGACTCCGCGGTGTCGCAACTGATCCCCGGCTCGGAGGTGCGGGTCACGCTGGACCACATCATTGAGGACGCGCTCGTCGTGTCGTTCCGCCTCGGGGAGAAGCTCTTCTCCGGGGTCCTCATGGATTTGTCCAAAAGGTACCGTGCCCGCCCCCAGCAGCCCCCCGGGACGCCCCGGCCCGCTCAGTCCCCGGGGAGGGAGCGAGCCCGGGCTGCCCCTTTACACCGGGCTCCCGCCTCTCAGGCGCCCCGCCGCCTGCGCCGCCCTCGGGTACCGCGCGGCGTGTGGCGCGCGCTCTGAGTGGGGCCGGCGCGCGGGGCCGCGAAGGGCAGATCCCTGCCCCAGGTGGGCGCCTGGAGGCAGGTGTGCCGCCAGGTGGGAGGCGCGAGTGCTTGAGGGGCTCCCGGGTCTCACCCCCCACCCCGCCCCCAGTCCCAGCCTTCTTTCACACCTGTCACTGGCTCACCCACACTGAGTCGGGTGGGTTAATGCAAAACGCAGGATTTTCGCAGAGTACGGGGTACAGGGTGGGGGACATTTCTTCGTTCTGAAATTAATCTTTAATGAGGTTGGAGAAAGGGGTGTGTGCATTGGGATTCCGAAAAGGTTAACTGTCACTCCTTATAAAGGGAAGAGCGTTTATTCAAAATGAGCCCTTTGATTGTTATTCTTAATGTTAGAACTCATTCCCCCTATATAACTGTTCAATACGGAAGCACATTTGGGTAATTATGATAAATTTTAAGAGAAGTTTAAAGAAGAGATGGGATTTTCATTATTGTTTAACTTTTAATATCAAGATGATGTGGTATAAAAGTGTTCAAACACTAACTTCTAAAACTGTGGTTACAATTTGAATGGTTGAGTTCACCCATAAACCTCTTTAGCACATTTTCATTTTTTACGTTGTTTGGGGGCTTTGGTTTAGACAGGTGAAGATACTGTGTTCTGAGTCTAGAATTAAGTTAACCTTCTTATTCTCTTCTTTTGCAGATATGAAGTGCAGAGACTCCCATTCATAGCTCTCCATTCTGTTTCCTGCAACAGCACACACTCTGATGGTATCTCACCTGTTTAGATATGGCTTATTTTAGTCTGTTTTACTTTTAACTGCTTGCCCTCCCATCAAGACAGAAGAATCTTCCTCCTTTGGGGAAGAAATACACAATAGAAGTATGGGAAAAGATGGGAGCTTTTACCATTACTGCAAACACTTCTCAAAAATTTTTTTTAGTTTTTTATTTATAAAGAATTTTGTTTTCATAAAACAGAAAGCAGAATAAGACCAGTGTGCTTTCTACTGATGTATTTATTAGCAAGACAGAATGTATGGTCACAGTGTGTATGCTATTGAATCAAACAGAAGTGAAGGGCAGTGATTGTGTGAGAATCTGGATTTCAAATCTGCAAAAGGAAGGTGCAAAAAGGTAAGTTGTTTCTGGAAATGGAATCCATAGTGCTTTCCTGTTTTGAGGTGCTCATTGTCCAGGTGTTTTGTTTATTTTTTAAAATTTTCTTTCATAGGAAATTGCAGTTCTATTTTACCTACAGTACTTCTAACGAACAGCAGCTTCTTTTGTAGCTCTTTTTATGAACCTTTTACATTTTAATGTTTTGAAATGAAAAGATCCTGTCATTAAAGTATTTTTCAAAAAGCCATTAAGGGAACCATATTAGCTTTTCATTCCACAAATGTTTATTGAGCACATTTATGTAAGGCACCCTTCTACCTATTCTGAATACTATATGTATGAGACACAATCTGACCCTCCTGGAAGCTTACATAGGAGGCATACACATTATGGAAGTGGTGAGGAAATAAAAACAGTTTTTAAAATGTAGCTCTTTGAGGGATTATTGGATCAGTGATTGATTAGTTGAATATCCTTTCATAATATAATTTGGAAAAATAGATCTGCCAATGTTATTTTGTAATCTATGCTTACTTTGATTGCATACTTTCATGCAGTTTTGGGGTTAACTGATGATCCAGGAGAGAAATCTTTACAGATTTTACCAAGACTGTGAGTATAATCCTCAATTGCTTTAAAAATAGTTTGTATCAGAAATTCCCTCGTTGTTCAGTGGGTGGGATTCTGCATTCTCACTGTCTGGACCTGGGTTCCATCCTTGGTCTGGGAACTAGGATCCCACAAGGCCACATGACCAAAAGAGAAATAAAAATAAATTGTTTCCTATTTGGCCATTGAGTGAAACCTTTAGGTAGAGAGAACACCAGCTTCCTCTATATGGGAAAAGAATATGAAAAAAAAAAAATAGACGTGTATGTATAACTAAATCACTTTGCTCTACACCTGAAATGAACATGACACTGCAAATCAACTGTACGCCAATATAAAAATTAAGACAGAGCTTCCCTGTTTTTGTTTTTTTGAGTACCTGTTAAGTAACAGACTTTGAACCTCATGCTTTAATCTTCGTAATTCTGGGGGTATTTTTCATTTATATGGGAGGAAATTCCGTCAATTCGGCCAGTTATTTAGCTTGTAAATGGCAAAGATTCAGATGTAGTTGATCTGATTCTAAAGCCTGTGCATTTTCTATTTCATATTAGAAAGGCATTTGGGCTGGCAAATTTCCTGTTAAGTAAAGAAGTGCATGTTTCTGAAATATATGCTTATCCTTCTGTTAATAGCTATATGGGATAATACAGAGGTTGTATATGTTGGAGCCAGGCAGATATTTTTAGTCAGCTCATAGCCATAGAACCTGCTCTGGAGACTCCCCATTTTCATAGCTGTATACTGGAACATAGTAAGCTCTGAGGCCTTGGTTCTTGCCTCTTCAGTGAGATATCAGAAAATAATTAACATTTGGGAGGCTACTAGGTGCATCATTGTACGTGTGCTTTTCTACAATGGGCCAGTTAATGCTTTTATTAATTTTTTTATTCTGAGGTGTGGCACAGAAATGTCTTTTAAAGTTGGAAGAGTTGTTCATGTAGAAAGAGTGTCTGATCCTAGAGTTACAGGACTTTATATATATGTGGATTGATCAAGAGTTTGCTTTTTGTAAGCATTTGTTTGACATTCTTTACCTTCCTGTCATTGAATTATTTTTTGCTTTATTTTTAGAGTTATTTGATTGAAGAAGACATTTTTGAAGAGAATCTTTTTGTGGAAAAGGAGCAGGACACATGTAATTAAAAAAAAAAACCTAAAGAAAATAAAGTGGTGCTGAATGGTACATTGGTCTGGACAGAGTTTCAGGGTACATGGGTGCTGACTTCTAGCATCTGCCTCTCCAGTTAACACCTTGACTTTGGGCAAATTTCTTTGCCTGTCTGGGACTCAGTCTCTAGTCTTTATGAGGCTAATTCATTTTGAATTAAGGCAGTTCACTTTACACACAAAGAAGCAAACAAACTTTACACCTCAGTTTATAGACCTAAATAGGGTGACCAAGTGGTCTGGTGTTCCTGTACCATCCTATACAGGTACCTGGTTTCCTGTACCTGGTTTGATTGTTATCTCCTTTCTTTATTCAGAGTAACTTGCTTTGGCAAGTAAAAAACATGGTCACCCTAAAAATGAGGATATTTGAATATCTAGTTAAAACAGATTTTGTGTAGTGGAGTACTTATTTGAAACTGAATGGCTTTAAGTTGAGGCTTGCATTATTTAGTTTATTCTAGGCCTATCCACTATTTTATCCTCAGCTCTCTTAGGTAGTTTAAATTAACCCTGTCTACTGCTGAATTCATTAGCAAAGTCTAATGACAGTAGTCTAATAACTAGCAGATAAAGTAATCAAGTAACTCCCAAATTTAGTTTGGTTTTCCTGTTGTCTTTTCTTCCTTAACCTTATGCTTTTGAAATTTTGACTTAGGTACGTTTGTTTCTTCATTTACCATTATATAGTATTATATAATAAGCATTCCTTCAGGTTGCTAGCTAAACTGTTTTAATGCTTATTTTAGACAGAATAGTCATTGGTTGTACAATATTTGTTTAATTTGCTTATGGTAAATGAACATCCATAGTATTGTGGTAAGTGGATGTTCCTTGCTCTGACATATATCACCTGTTAGCCAGATTTGTTTTATCATATGCACACCTCCACTGGGTTATTTTCAAGCAAATCATAAACATCATTTTACCATAAATATTTTGGTACAGATCTCTAAAAAGATAAGGGCTTTAAAAATTGAACTGTACTACTGTTGTACATCTGATATGGTAGTAGTTCCTTTACATCATCATATATGCAGTCAGCGTCTCAAAATTAACATTTAAATTTTGTTCAAATCAGAATTCAAGTAAAGTTTATACACTGCAATTGGTTAAGTTTCCTAAGGTTTTTGTCTGTAGTTCTGCCATTACTTTTATTCCCTTGCAGTTTATTTGTTAATTCATAGCCTTTTTGGCAGAATTTTCCACATTGTGAGTTTCTTCCAATTGCATCCCCTTGGATGCATTTCCATAACATTTTAAAAATAGTTCTTCTCCCTCAGGAGTAAACAGATGGGACAACTGTAGCCCCTACAGGCCCCCAAGGGCCTTGCTTTGGGGCAGTAGAAATGATGCGCTATCTCTTGCTGCCTGCTGACTTCTGGGCCTCTGCCTTAAACACACCTCCAACTTCAGTAATTCCAAACATAGAAAAGTTTAACCAGGCAAGATAACTTGCTGAGGACAGAAGCCTTCAGCCGGAGCTTCTGAGCATGTCGTTTCTCAGGCTTCTCAATCTATACTTGAAACAAAAGAAGTCTTTCTGTAAGTTGTGACTGACTCTGCCTCACCAGGCTTCTCTGTCCATGGGATTCTCCAGACAAGAATACTGGAGTGGGTTGCTGTTTCCTTCTCCAGGAGATCTTCCTGATGCAGGGATCGAACTCAAGTCTCCTGCTTGGCAGGCGGATTCTTTATCACTGAGCCTTTTGAAGGGACATAAGAGACCTGTGTTTTCTTTCTATGAGAGGGATCTTTATTTATTTTTTTGAGAGGGATCTTTAAACTGTTCATTACTATTCACATCTTTAAAGTTATAAAACCACGTTGAAGTCCTGAAAAATCTTTCTGATCCCAATATTTAGGGCACTGATATAAATTAAAGGCATATGCTTAAAAATTCTTGTGCATTTTAATTTTGTGGTGCATATTAAAGATTGTAGCTA